ATATATATATCTTTGTTCAAAGTTTGTGGCAGTCAAACTGCTAACTTTCAGCACTAAAAGCCTAAAAACCAACGTTGATAAGGCACAAAAAACAAGAGTAATGCTGACCTCTGAATACATAAAACACAAATAATCAAACAAACAATACAAACCCACTTTCCTTGTTAAAATGAAGCACCTCCTTAACACAAGCCAGACCGGAGCTCTTTTTTTCCCCTTTCTGCCTCAGCCTTGTCACTGACAAATAAAAACCTTGACAGTCTGTGTACCCTCACCATGTGAGAAGGGCAGAATTACAATGTATAATGGAAAACCTTTCTGTTTCTCACTGATGAAAAAAAGCTGTTAAAAGTCTGAACTTTTTTTCAAGTTGTTCAAAAGTTTTCGCCACAGCCTTATTCCATTTTTTTTCTTTATGACAAGATTTTCAAAAATACGTGCGATATGAAGGTACTTCTCTAATTGGAGATATTACAACTGAGAGAATTATGCATGCTTGGATTTGTTTATTTCAAAAGACGTCTCATTGTAATTATAGTGTAAATAACAAGCGTATTATTTCTATACGCTATAATCAATACAGATCGCCAGGCGAGCTTTTGCATGCGTAAACGTATTGCAGTCACGACTGATATTATTTTCCCGAATATTGTTTAGGTTTCGAGACTTTCACACACTGAACACAACATCTGTGAGCTGAGTGTGTGTGTGTGTACCTGTAGGGAGTTTAGGAGGATGAAGACGTAGGCCATTACAATGGATAGAGGAACCAAAACACCGCACAGCCACGTCAGTCCAAGGATGGGCAGCAACACCAACACTGCTTTCACTGCAGCCCTGTACCCACAAACACAACAACCAATCACACCACTCTAAAGTAGCTGATTGAGCTGAGCAAACCACGTAAAATGTATTTAATTATTTCCTTCAGGTTCTCCTTCTGATCATCTATTCAATTTCCAACTTTCCCAACTTTTTATTTTTTTTTTGTCAAAACTGAGAAGTTCCGGTGAGCCAGTTGTTCCATATACAGGCCTATACAGCTGGAAGGCTCACGGGGTGAAAACTTCCCACCTTAAATCCACCTTAATTCTGTTTAGAGTGGAATTAGCGTTCCGCTTAGGTGACCGCCAAACCGCAACAGCTGTCTGTGTGTTCTCGTGTGTGTGACATGGCATGCGACGGGCCCTAGTTTATTCAGCGGAGGAATGTGTTTGAGTTTCCGAGATGGCTGCCACCCAGGCAAATAGTTCAAGGCCTGTTTTGAAAACCTTCATAAAGCACCTACTGTGAGCCCCAGTGGACTAAGGTAGGTTCAAACACGCCCACAATCATGATTTCATCTGCTAGGATTACATAGAAGCTTGCAGGATTTTACTCCAATCCCACTGAAGGGAAAAGACAGCAGGGACGCAGCCTGGGATGGTGCTTTTGTACGGACATCACAGTGCAACAGCAACGGAGACGTCAGTGTACCAAGGCAGGTTTAGCAATGGTAGATGGTATGGAACAAGAAAAGTTAACTGTACAAAACTCCGGGACTTGAGTTAGTGATTTGCACGCATGCTACATTTCAAATTAACACTAAATTAATCCAAACTAAAATAACTTAACAAACATATCATATGTATTTATATATTTTTCTTTTAAATTGAAAGAATATAAATTTGTCAGTTAATAACATAATCTTTCAATTCCAAACAACACCATAGTTTGAACTATTTCTATGACATAAGCACAAGTTAAATATACGGTTGCAAGACAATATATACAATTTGGCAGGACTTAAACGATATTAAACACTGAGAGTATAACATTGCAATCAGTTAAGTCCTTTATATGGCTATCACTAATAAAATCCACTCAAAAGTATTCCTCTCTCTCGCCTGATAAACAAAAGCCACTGATTTAAAATGACAAAATGCAGTACAAAATCACTTAACGACTACAGCTTGTCCGTTTCAAGGCCTCTGGCCGAGGCCAATACACATTAAAAAGAGGACAAATGGTGCCTCCTTGTGGTTGGTACCTGATCTGTTCATACGTTCGCTCCACCGGACTGGCTCCCATGGCCAACATGATGGACCTTCTCTTGGCTGTGGAGATTGTGATGACCACAACCCTGGTTAATACCAATATGTTCACCTTCAAAATAAAATCAGGAGAGTACAGAAATGAGAAAGAAGCAAAGATTCCACAGAGACCGTCATAAAAGAAAGTAAATACAAATATCTAAGGAGAGGTAGTAACATTAGGTTTTATAGTCCAAAACTATTATCCCTGTTATGCTCTATTTTAACAACATCAGTTCAGCTAATTATAATTCAATTTGCTGACCATGATGATGAAGATGACAGGCCCAGCAAAACCCCAGATAATGCCATTCTGCAGACTGAGCCAGCAGTAGTCATCAGCCGAGTACTTGCTCGGGGCTGACGCTAGTGTGATGGTGACTATCAGCACAGGCAGACCTGGTTAGATTGAGAGATTTTAAAAAATACACACAGAGGAGGTAAAAGCACTGATGTTTTGTTGAATCGCACATATAGAGAGTCAGTTAGAGCACTGCACATTACACAGTGTGACAAATCAACTACTTCCACAACAAAAACCTGGCAGCCCGTCTGCATGTGTAACGATAAGGAACAATTTGGTTTGGTCATGTAACTGTACCCCAGCCGATGAGATAGTAATATTTCATATGTTGCTCCTCGCTTAGGTTGACTGCAACCACCTTGCTCCAGAGCAGCAGACCCTCCACCAGCATCCAGCTAAATGCCGCCATGAAGAAGAGATGGAGCAGCGCCGCCACGAGCGTACAAGCCACCTTAAAACACACAAGCACAGGCATAAACATAAGATTTGTCATTATGAGATGAAAGTTGCATTAGTGATACTAAGTAATAAAAGTCAAGAATGGCTACAAGCCTTAACTACACACACAAATGAAAAATGTTTAAACTGTATGTTTAAGACGAAATATCCCATTGACATCATTATCAATCCCACGATCACAAGATAACTGTATGCATGCTTTTGTAGCCTCTATTCAGCAAATGTTAGTTTGTGTAAATGAATGATTATGATTTATTTGCAATAGGAATTAAAAACCAACTAAAGACATGTTTTTTCATTTAGACAGTCATTTCAAATATTTCTAAGCTTCAGCTAAATACTGCACAATTCATATGTGGGTGTTATAAATGCTCTGTATTTTCTTAAATCTAGATTTAAATCACTTGCTTGTTTCACTGTAAAAATACTGCAAATAGGTGTAACTCTAACAATATTTAATGATACCCTCTATAAAGGTTATGAAATCTGCAAACCTACTTTTAAAAATCAACATAACATTTACCTTGTTGTGAATGGCTGAGCCGCTGCACAGCAGAATCACCTGGGCACAGATAAGGGCAACGAACAGGTTCTTGTGAATGGACGTCCTGTCGGATTTGGGGATACTGTGGATACAGAGGGGGATAACAAAACCTCATCCAAAGGAAGATATATGCTATGGAGCCTGCTTACACAGCATTGCACCAATCAAATGCTATCTCAGTTATACAGATAAGATAAGATAAGATAAGATAAGATAAGATAAGATAAGATAAGATAAGATAAGATAAGATAAGATAAGATAAGATAAGATAAATTTTATTGTCATTGTGCAGTCATACCTAGTACAATAGTACAACAAAATTGGAAGCTATCCCACGTCGGCACTACACAAAACTGTTACCCTATTTCTCTGGTTTTGCAACATTGCTGTTTAACACATGTCACCAATAACATCAATTGAAATGTAAGACAGAGGAGCCACCAGTCATAAATGAGCCAAATATCTGGTCATAAGAAACAGATAGCTGTAACAGACACTATGGTATGTGTAGTGATCTTGCACTTGCGTGTTTTACATGATTATATTAAGGTAAACAAGAAGGGAAGCTGGTACATAATATCACTATGCTCCGGTGCTACACTTCTCAAAAATAGCAGCAGATTGATCAACAGTTAACTGGAATGCTGCCTTCAGGCGGCTCCAGGGATTAGATAAAAGAAAAGCTTTTCATACAGAATAAAGGAGCAGAACTAAGAATTGTGCAGAATCTCACTAATTCACAGACTGACTTGGTTCTGAGATGTGACGTAAAATACTGACAACGTGCTTTGTGCCTTCTACCCCACACCTGTTCGCATAACTAACTGAAAATGTCAATGGCACCACAATAAGGAAACCATATATGTCACTGTTTCCTCAAACACCCAAAAAGATCAAAACAACTACTCGTATTACATTCAATACATTGAATATTTCCATCTCAGACTGAAATATCAAACAGAAAACAGAAAAACAAGAGACAGCTGAAACTGGCTGAGAGGTAAATTAACTAGAGAGCCTCTCATTATCTGCCCATCAGGCTCATTTCATGTCTGCATCACTGCTTGAGACCACTGTAATCCCGCCGCATGAATACAAGCGTCCTCGGCTTTGTGAGCCTCAGCTTTGTCTCTGGTTGCGAGTGAATTTAAGCGCACAAACACATGTACATCATACATCAGCGCGCGGGAACGCGAGCCTGCGCTCTCTGTTTTTAGGGCAGTCGTAAATTGCCGAGGCAGCTCCTCTCCAGCTGATCGCGATCCCTCAATGACCGTAATGTTAATTAACAGCAAGAGAATGCCACCATAAACCTTCAGGGTGGACTCACATGTAGACAACAGTAATTACTGGATTAACGCAAGTCAATACTATCATAGCTTTAGGAACAGAGCAGCAATGATACTACTGATCAGTTATCTCAGCGTGTCTTTCTTATAACATGGCAATGCCCAAAAAGGTGTAAAAAATACACAAAAAAATGCCTAAATGATATTTGTGCTACATAAATTCCATATAATGAGTCCAAATTATAAGCTTTTAGCATTTTCAAGACCACTATTATAAAGAGAGTTTTTTGCTATTTTGACTTTGGAAATAATGATGATCCTGTTTTCAAAAGTATGTAGGTACTTGAGCAACACAATACAGTATACAACATAAAATATGTATAGCAGAACCACTGCATCTGCTTGACACCATGTGTAAAAAGTGACTGCTGTGTTTAGCAGCACAGAAAAAGGTGAGGCTGCATTGCGTCTCGTGGCTCAGGCAGACAGAAAACAGGCAGCTATTTTCGCATCATAGACAAGCAGGTCAGGAAAAATCAGTTACTTACTCCAGCACAGTGAACAGCATCAAGGTCACCACCAGAGCACACAGAGATGCGCCACAGCCAATGAATGTCAGCTTGGTCAAAATAAGCTCTTCCTCTGGACTCCACTGGGACAGAAAGGAAAGGCAAGTTGTGTGAGACAGACAAAAGAGGGGAGAATGTTGTCAGAGAGTCCTAGAGGTTGACGAGCAGCCGTCCCATATCTGAAAAATCCCTCATTTGATCTGAAAGAAAGTGATTTCTTACGTCATCGCTATACATAAATGGTTGTATTTTTATAAACTCAAAATCTTGCTGATGGTGTTGCTCTTTGATGAACTTACAAACTTTTATGTTCTTCAGGTAAACAGAGAGAATAGCTGTACTACATTCTACATCCGTCAACACAACAGGCGCAGTATGAGTGACACCTGCTGGCAGACATCATGTACTGCAAATCCTATCCCCAAGATCGAATATTAAACTGGATCTTGATTTAGACAAGCAGTCACGGTAAAAAGTAATTCAAATACATTTAATTCAGTTTTATTTATATAGCATTAAATTACAACAACAGTCACCTCAAAGGGCTTTGTATTGAAAGTTAAAAACCCTACATAATAAAGAATAAAGTACATCCTCCATCAGCTATAATTCTATACCGTATTAGAACATTTATTCAAAATGTATTCCTTACCAGGTCTTAGATGAACAATAAAAGACTTACTATATCACGTCACTATTTATTTAACACAAACTAGAGAAAAATGCAGAAGCAGTTTGTGAAAAACTAAGTGCAACTTAAGGCCCAGCAGCTTGTAGAACCACCTTGATCTGCAATAACTTGAAGTAACTTTAATTGTTTCTCACATTATTCTCATTTTGGGCAAGCTACTGAGCCCAAGTTGTTCTCATTTGCATCTATCAGAGTATGAAGGTGAGATAAACAGAAAGCCCTTACCTAGAAAAAGCATAGAAAAAAAGTTCCTTTATGAATAGGTGCAAATGGGCTAATAAGGTAAGTTGTACAAAGTGCTTTGAGTGCTCAGGTAGAGTAGAAAAGTGCTACATTTGTCATTTACCAACGGCTGCTAGGTGCACAAATCATCACCTCTCCACCACTGTACTTGACAGTTGGTATGAGGTGTTGGTGCCGACATGCTGTGTTTAGTTTTCTCTAAAGGTGGTTCTGTGCATTCTGGCCAAACATCTCCACTTGGATCTCATGGCTTGCACAACTGTGATTTTGCAAATGCAAAATTGCATGAAATGCATGAAATGTTCATGAAATGTACTTTCATGAACTTTAGCATCATAACTGAGGCCTGAAGTGTAGCTTTGGGGTTTTCTCTGAACATTATCTGAATTTGAAAGCAGACCTGAATGCTCCAGACCAGCCAACTGCTAAAACATCTGCTTTTATAGAGGTGGGCACACTTATCAATAACCATTTATTCACTTCTATTTGCTTAGCAGCCACTTACCATCACAGTGTGTGAATGTGTGTGTGAATGGGTGGATGACTGGATATGTAAAGCGCTTTGGGGTCCTTAGGGACTAGTAAAGCACATTATAAATACAGGCTATTTACCATTTAATATGTATGGAAGAAGTAACAGTGCACTTAGTTTATCATACACTGTTTTCGCATTTTGGCCTAATATTTGATAAATTAATAAAGATGTGGTGTAATGTGACACGTCTGAGACTGTACTTACCTCATTTTAAACCCTGATTATTTTTATTATTCCGGATATGCATACATACATCTTGTAAAAAAATGCACCACATAAGTCATACCTTTACAAGATTGTTCACAGTTTACCTTAAATAACCTAAAACTTGATGTGTGTGATTTAAATGGGGGCATCACAATCGAGCTCAAGTTACCTGTGATTCGAGGTAATTCATCAGCACTGCAAAGTTTGTTGTATGGTTACACAAACAGGACGTGACACTAGAGCCATCAAGGATCACTGTGCAGCCTTCACTGGACCAGCTACTGGTATTCGTGTGCCTATACACAAGCACAAACACACTCACTGGTAAAGAATCACACTCATATTTAGGACTGAGACATCCTGCAGGGATAGTGACATGTCTTATAAAACATCAAACAACAGGCTACTTCCTACATCATTTATCGAATTAATTGAAATAATACAATTTTCAGGCATATTCATGTGACTGTGCTGTTGGTCAAACTTACGTCAGACTGAAATTCCAGAAGGCACAAACAGGAATAACTCTCTTTGAATACTCCACCTAGAAACAGAATAATGTTTGCATTTGTTTTAATCTTTATCCTCGTTTTAATTTATCTGTGGTTGGTCATCAAACTTTGGCTTATTTTAAATGACTATTTCTTTCTATTCCATTTGCTGCTTGCTAAGTGATGAAAATTACTGTAAAATAAAATGCTGCAACTTATTTTTAATAAACGAAAATTGCATAGCTGCTAATATCATGCTGTGTGACATCCTCTGCACAATAGGCTGCGCCACCTGTGATGATGAAAGGGTGTACTTGACAGCAACAGGTATAGTTTCGGGGTTCGAGGCATGGCGGACCGTGGCTGATATGATAGCCGATGCTAGATCTCCTGGGAGAGTTCTGGGAAAACAGGCAATGGTTGTCACTGAGATACATCTTACATAATCAATTCAAACTACAACCATCAGATTAATCCCCATGCTTTAGAGTAAAAGTGGCTGAATCCAGACCACAAAGATAAGATAAGAAATTACAGTTCATTAAAAACAGAGAAACAAACAACAGGAAACCTTTTCACTTTCTCTTGGTCACTCAGTGCAGACTCCTTTGTTCCTGATACAATGTCACTGAACTGGTTGTAATGGGTATGAATAAATATCACCTCCTCATATCCTGTTTAGAGATAGTGGACAAAAACACTGTGTGGGTCAGTGGTTCATCTAGGTGAGCATCTAACAATGTAATATGTGTCTATAGCATTTGTAGTGTAAACTAACGGTTACGGTTAGCCTCTAGAACAAGTGCATTTCCGTGTGTGTGTGTGTTTACTACCTAGTGTGTGTATCCTCTGGAGCTCGGTCTCAGGAATGAGCAACTCATCGTGGCTACTGCTGCTGGGCTTGTGAGAGCCAAACGCAGATGGCTTGTAGACTTGATTACAGCTCTCCTGGGACAGCTTCTGCCACTTCATGTACACATCTGACAGCCAAGCAGATGCAATGACAATATTAACAGAAACCACAAGTTAGAAAGCCAAGAGCCACCAAATGTTTCGATCATTGCGCGCGTGTGTGTGTGTCCTTTCACCTATATTCTTGGTAGAAAGACTCAAGCTTCTTCCCTTAGTACAAAGCATCTCTGCAAAAGCTTCAGTGAACTTATCAATGGTCTTGACAAGCGTAAATGGGCCAATGTTGACCTGAACAAATCGATCAAACACAGGTTAATGGAGGTGAAGAACTATCTTTGGAGAGTAGATTATATTTAAGTAAGTAAGCAGGGCGCCTCAAAGCAACAGAGTCCTGGGTTATGTATGCACCAGCTGGCTGGGGCCTGTATGTCTTATGTAATTGCCTGTTTGTGCAACATAAGCATGAATAGTTGTCTCTGTGTGTTGGCCCTGTGATAGATATAGATGGTGACATATCCAGGGTGTACCCAGCAAGTAATTAAATCTAAATCCGCATTATAAATAATGGATAGAAACACAGACTGTTAAGTGATGCAAACAGGTTTCTTATGTATAGTTAAGAAACAACTTTAAATTCTTTTCTGATGGATTAAATAAGGTTCTCATAGTCCGTATGCGCTTAAATCCCAGGGTACACTAATTTGCTACAATGCTTTTAATAATTTAAGGAGGTAAAATGTTATTAAACACACAATTTTAATTAAGTAAAAAAATTGGAGGATTTCACAGAGATATCATCACAGAAACATTACGCCTCACCCCATCATCCGTCAGACCCATCCACTGTGAAGCCATGCGTGGCTCCAGGATCAGACTCGCAATATTTAGATAGTTGGTGGCAATGGACACCATGACCTCTGTGGCATTATCTCCGGCGGAGTGAAATCTAGCTGGTGGAGTTACGTCCATCATCTGAGAGAGGTAGAAAACATCGTTGGCGGTCAGGAGGAGCGGGCCACTTGCCTCTATTTTATGTAGGACAGCTTGGGTCAGCTGCTGCAGCAAGGTCAATTTGTCCCAGGAGCTGTTAGCACCCACCCCTCCTGTTACCTGAATAAACAGAATAGAACAAAGTTATAACATTAACTTAACTGCTGATTCACTGGTCCTTTTATACTTCAATCACTTCTATTCACCAAGCATTCTTAGGTGATTCTCTGGGATTTTGATCCTAACAAATGTACAAAGTTGAGATGATGACTCTCCTAAAATTGGATCAGATAGTGTGTCAATTTTGTCTTGGATACATCTTCCACAAAACAGCTTAATTGGAGATAAAGTATCGAAATTTCAGGAGTGGGACCACGCCTCCAGACACGCTCCTTCTGGTTCTTATCTATATATGTGCCCCCAGTTCAACAAGCTGTCATTCTCGTTTACGTGCCCCACCCTCCCTCTCCTTTTCAATTCTTTAACTTCTTCACTTCTATTTAGTACATGGGGATCTGCCAGGCCTGGGAGCCAGTCCCCTTTGAGGCCTTCCCCAAACCGTAGCTCAATTCATGTCCAAGCCATTCACCTTTACCTACTAAAACACTGTCAACCCCAAAATGAGGACGTGGGCCCAGCGAGTGAAATGAAACGTAAATAATCAAAGAATATTCTTTTTGGGGGATTTTTTAGCACGTGTTAACTTGGTGATCTGCTCACTAACATGAATACTTGGTAGTTTATCAGACTGTACCACCACTGCACTACCTAATAACCACCTCAAAGCTCAACAGGCTGACTCACAGGTTTATTGATGAGATCCTTGTTCAGCCTCCTGAAGAATGGTGTCTTTGGTAAACTGAAAACACCCAGCTTCTCTGCAGAGACGGACAAATATAATATAATATAATATAATATAATATAATCCATTAGCACACAAAAGCACACACAGCACCCTAAAAACCTATTTAAAAATAATTTAAAAGCAAGAAAACTGAATTGCATAATTCAATCACATTTGTTGATGCACAATAATTATTATCTGTACCTCGCCTACACTGACAGACAGCTCCTCTGGAGGAGTTGCATTTGGCTAGGCGGGAATGCTCCGTGACGGGGTCAAAAATGCCGCACTCTTCATCGGTTCTCTGGCTCTCTGCAAACATGGTGAAGGGAATCGTGAGGCTTATACATATTATTAAGCTGTTGAAAATCGCATAGGGAAATATCAATATTGATATTATGCTGATAGACAGTAGTTTGGATAATACAAAATAGAGAAATGTTGCAAATGTGAGACATTTCATACAGGAAACTAAAAATACACAGCAGTGCTTAAACTAATCAACAAGTCTACAAATACAATATAATAAGGTGTAACTGCGTGAATTCAAATTGACCCAGATAGGCATAACCTGACCTGCTCTCCCCGTTAGAAATGGAGTAAGTTTGTTAACTCGGCTAAGTATAAATATTGCACTAATAGTAAATTAAACATGGTTTCAAATTACTCATTTACAGTTAGCAAATGCTTCTGGATATTTTACTCAACATGCATACCCATAATAGACCCATATTTTGTACCCTCATACCTAACAAACCTATTTCTATAATATATCTATATATCTATATTATTGCCAATATATATTTGGTAATATATCTATTATGGCTAAAGCACTTATGGATGTAAACTGCATTTCGCTGCCTTGTACTTGTGACATGTGCAATGACAATAAAGTTGAATTCTATTCTATTTTATTTTATCACTCTAGGCATCTATTTGTCCATTGTAGCATTTTAAAATCTGTTTTGCTTTATTCATATTAAAATATTTTACTTGTATACTAAAACACTTTATGCATATATATATGTTTATGTATATCTTAGTTTTTATTCACTGCTAGCAGAATCTGGACACATATCGTAAGCTTTTATTTTGGTCTGCAACACATCATACTAAATCTGTTTTATTGAATGTAAATAAATGTACATAAAAGCAGAATGCAATGATCAGCAAATCTTTTGAAGCCTATATTTGATTAAAAATAGCAGAAAATACATTAATCAAATGTAGTTTTTCTGAGGAAGAATTTATGATTGTTATGAATTTGATGCCAGGATCAGAAGAAAAAAAACTAAGACAGGGGAAGCAAACGGCTAGGGAAGTTGTGTACTAAACTAAACTAATTTTAAAAAAAAATATTAATAATTAAATGGTAAAATGGTAAATGGTCTGTATTTGTATAGCGCTTTACTAAAGGACATCTTACAAATGATTAGGCTTAACATGATTTGATCCATGATCTTACAGGCACACATAGTAGAAACTAGGGACTAAAAGTTAACCATCCCCAGGAGCCTACAGGTGGATGCTGGGGTGGCTGAGGGGTCGACATAACGGGAAATGATGTAGGGCAGCAGCAACATTATGGAAGCCATCAAATTGGGAGGGTGCGTTTTAAAATTTCTGGTTAATACATGAGGATAGTCCAGCATGTTATGTTGTAGCTCTATACTATCGAAACAAACATGTCTTTCCTGGGGCTGAGCTCCTTTAAAATAGACTGGGGTAAAGTGGGACACTGTCCTGTTCTAGCTAAAGATAAGAGTATACAATTAATACTTAATATACAACTCAAAAGCCAACAACTGTGATGGTTTGGGGGATTACTAAAAGCCCCATTGACAATGAAAGACAAATAGAGGTTTTGGAGAACCACAGGCAGCCATACTGATGACTTATGGTACACTAAGGAATATCACGGCTCAAAAGCATCTTTTTGCTTTAATATTAAAAGTAACTGTGACCACCGATATTCTCTAATGCAGCGGTCCCCAACCTTTTTTGCGCCACGGTTTATGCCCGACAATATTTTCACGGACCGGCCTTTAAGGTGTCGTGGAAAAATGCAACAAAATAAAAGTAGTACCGGTACTGAAAAAAAAAAAGAAGAGTTATTCATAACACACGTGAAAAGACCCAGGAAAACCGAGTTAATGATAAAAACGATAACAAAATAATGCTGAACACCGATAAAAACCCAGAAAACCATAAATTTCACACCTGAGCCTCAACTCTCGCGGCCCGGTACCAAACGACTCACGGACCGGTACCGGTCCGAGGCCCGGGGGTCCCGGGGGTCCCGGGTTGCTCTAATGTATTTGGACTTTTTAGTGAATTGATCATACCCAGGACGACCTGTTTGTTGCAGCAATACAATACCAAACCGCATTCAACATAGCTCTCCAGTAAAAGAAAAGTCTGAGCGCTAAGCTGAATGAAACTGGTCTTGGCATGTGCTGGCATTCGATTCAAACTGAGCAGGAGTGGAGCTGTAGATCAAAGTTACTGCTTTTATATATGCTAAAGCACAGTCATGGTTATAAACTGCTAGATGATGTTATTTAGTATAAAACAATGTTTAACTTCTAAGTGTAAAGCTGATATTGTTTCTAATAATAATAATTTGTATCCATAGAGGACTTTTCCATGTTATACCTTGTTGCCACAACATTAGAAGCAAGAGTTTATAAGGTGCTGGCTTGACCCATATATTCTCCAGGTTTCAATATGACTGAACATATGTGGTATGCGCTGGAAAAACATGTGTAAACTCTTGAAGGCTCCGCTTTCCAGCTCACAGGACTGGATCGGCCACTAACGCCTCTGTCCCAGATAACACACAATGCTTTTCGGGGCCTTGTGAAGTCCACGCCAAGCCATAATTGCTCTGGATGTACAAATGGTGATCTAGCCAGTATTTGGCAGGAGTTTTTAATGTTGATGCTGGATTGTGTATGTCTGAGATGGTTTGATGAGGAAGAGAGAGAGAGGGAAAAATGAACCCGCCTGACAGAGTAGCAGGCAGTGCCAAGATCTTTCAAGTCCAGTAACTGAAGGAAGGCAACAGCCACCCTACAAACATTACATTGATCGCATTAAATACACACAAACACACAGAGATAGTCTTTAAAAGACCTGCAATTAAATTCTGATTGTGTGAGAGAAAATAAGTGACTGAATTCCAACACGCTGCCTTTCTACACGCTCGACTCCAGCAGGGAAAGGGAGATTTTTGGAATTTCACTGCTCATTAGAGACCATGATGTCAGAAGGGGAGACGTCTGTTTTGAAGGGTGGGACTCGGGGTGATATGAGTCAAAAAGCATTTACCAGAAACATCAGCAGCCCCACCAGCTGCCAATTACAACTTGGTCACTAGCTCCCTTATTCATTTTAGGGAGGAAGGAAGGGAGACAGATGCTGAGAGTGTGCCTGTGTTTGTTTACTAATGTTTAAAACTTGAATAATAAATGGTCATTGGTTGCCACTATAGCAAACACGACATAACATGTGATCATAGGATATTTACACATCTAGTTGTTGTTTTTTTAAATCTGTAAATGATCTGATTTTGTAAAAGAGCCAATAAAAATAAAATGAATGACATTTAACAGTTTTAGTTACATTTTTTTTAATACTAAGAGATGTCATTTATGATTAAACTGCTTCTGTGCAGTTAAACAGTTTCACTATTTCATGACATCACTTTTGGTTCTAGAAGTCAAAGCATTTTTAGACTTTTTAGATTTGATCACATTATGGCTGGGTAATAATGTGGGTGTAGAAGATGATGGGACAGAGACTGAGGGTTATATCAGTAATATAGGTAGAGTTAACTACAACAGGCCAGCTTAGATCTTTTGTTATGTCTGACGTTACTGAAATGATTGCAGTCAAAAATGACTTTCAAATGGACTCTCTGTAATCGTTTTTCTGTACAGCAGCTCCACCCAGGCCCAGTGCCAACCTGCTTAAACTGCAAACACCAAGTATAAGTAATTCTACCGCTGGAGCTTGTGGATAGATTGAGTCTCTTTTGTCTTTTATAGTCTAAATAACACAAAACTCCATACTTTCCTCTAGTTGGTGAATAAATTTGCTATAATAATACATAGCCTTTAAAAACCCTTCAGCTTTTGACCATGTCGTCTGATTGCATCCTGATTAATGTACCTTGACATGGGCTGTCACTCCACTGCTTTGTAAGGGAGGTCTCTATTTCCATTGCTGCTTCGCTCCACTTGAACACCAGCCCAGAGGAAACGAGTGAGCACTTCTTTTCCATGCTGGAAATTTCGCTGCTGTTCAGTACCCGATTCCAAATGTGGAGTTCTGTTATGCTCCCCGAGAATGATTCGTCACTCTTAAATGACCCCCCAAAGGTGTCCTGCTCCTGCCCGATAATGAAAAAGCCACCAGGTCCAATGCTGTCTGTACTGTTTAGGCCTTCAGCCGCAGACACAGCGTGACCATGAGCATATATTGCCCAGCGTCCACCATTCTGGCTCCAAGAAACGCAGACAGAGTGCCAGGAGTCATCATAGTTGAAGGCGTCATGGTAAGGCCCGTGAATGCCATGGACGAGCAGAGCCAGCTGCACAGGCTTGCCCTGGTTCAGGTTTGCACGGAGCTGGAACTCATTAATATATGACGGAATGGAATATGAAAAGACTGTGGAACGGCCAGAGCAGTGTGGATTGAAGCGCAGAAGGGTGCAAACAGTCAATGATCCCATGGAGGGGAAGCTGTAGCGAAGACGGGCATGCGTCCTGTTCGAGCGCCCAGTGAAATTTAGAATGAGGGTCTTGGAGGACGCTTTGGTGTCACCACAGAGAGAGAGAGAGGGAAAAAGAAGACTATTAAGAAAAAATGCTGTCACAAATATTGGAAAAGATAGGAGCTAATTATAAGAAATCACTTTGCAATCTTATTTTTACTGTAAACAGCTGGAAAACATTTAAATGATTAAGTAAGCAGGAATTTGTCTGGACAAGAAAAGCAAAAAGAAAACAATTTATAAAAGGACCAGCACTAATGTCAATGCAAAGTTTTAAAAAACCTACTAAACCTACTTGTGATGCGTGTTATGACTTTCTTGGCAATCCACACAGACTGAGAGATGTTCAAGGATTTTAAAAATTTGGTAAGCTCCCGGTTTTCTTCTGCGTTGGAGACAATAGCTAACGCCCCAGAGCGCTGCTTACACATTTCTCCAGCCCTGTTCCACTGCAGGCTGTCAGGAACATAGGCATAGTAGGATACATCACAAGCCTGGGTGATGGTTTCCAGGAGAAAGGCTGCTCAAAAAAAGAAGAAACGTGAGAAGACAGGTAAGGAGGTGTGGCCAAACTGAAGTGGTAAAATACAGACTAAAACTTACTGAGATTCAAGATTCAATCCTGCCCATATCCTGACCAGGGCTTTGTTGTTATTATTATTATTATTATGGTTACAATATCAGCAGTGCCAACACGACCAATTATATTTGTGAGAACAGGCCAGACATGCTTGTTTATCATACAAATGACATCTAATGAAATTTTTCATTCAACATTTGAACGAGTCCATTTTCCAAACCTCTCGGTTCATGCAGAGGAGGGTTAGGGTTTAAAGCACCTGCCAGTTCTCAACTTTGGTTTTTATGCTATTTACAACTAACCATCAGCCAGAAAATAGTATAAACATACAAACAAAAAACCCACCTGTACTACTGTCCTGCATCTCACTCTGGCTTGTTATTCTTATATTTATTTTATATTTAGTTTAGTTATTTTAGTTGTTCGTTTTCCCGAAAACAAAAACACAAAAAAAAACTATAGTACCTAGGACTGAAGTGCAAATGGAGACCTTTAATTCAAGTGGTTTTGCAGTTGCACATTGTCAGAGGCTCAAAATTAACTGGCAAGCAGTTTCAGACAAACAAAGCAGTTGATTCATGATCATTCATCATTGGGGTGAAACAAAACAAAATAACCCCCCACACACAAACACACACACACACACACAAACACACATTTTAATCATATGTATCATAAATGACTGCAGTTCCTAGTTTAGTTACATCATGGGAGAAGAGAGAGAGAGCCTCACCTGCTTTATAGCTGTGAAAGCAAACCTGTAAGACAAGCACAGGTGTTTATGTAGCTAATTTTTAAAGGTATAAAATAATAAAGATAACTGGGCACCTGTTCACTAAGGAGTGCAGCAAGTGCCAAAATGAATTAAACTATACATCATTAAATAATTAATTGGGCCGGGAATTAATTAAAGTTTGAAGTAATTAATAAATTCAGTACATTAATAATGATTAAGTAGTAATTCACTTCATTTAAAATGTTTGATGCATATTTTACTTACTTTGAATTTTAATCAATTAATGATTGTCCCATTTGATTATTCGCCATAATTAATGATGCATTTATCTTTCAACTATTTAATTATATTTACTTTTTTTAATTTAACTACTTGTTTGGTTAAATAATTATGGCACTCGTGGTCCTCCATAATATCACTGCCAGCCTAGCCTCCTCGTGTTTTTTGTAAAGTATTCCTTTAAAAGACTATTTCATATAAAGTAGACATTAATAAAACTGTTGACCATCCAGCTGTGCTACTTTCACAGAAGTCCGTTCATTGTATTTCTCTAAAATTATGATAGTTTCTTGGGAAAACTCACACTGTTCACAAGACATGTTTACAAAAAAATGACAAGTGAGAAAAAGTGACAGCGACCAAAATGAATCCTCTAGACTAACAAAGGTTTCTGATTTGCTTTACCTTCTCGAAACAAGTGAACCGCTTCAGGTATAAAACCTTTTTTGCGCCAGTTTGTTTGAGGAGAAATGAGCTCATTTAAAAGATGACAAAAAATGTAATAAGAAAAAAACATAAAAACACAAAGATGTGCCAGCTACTCACAAGCAGGCCCAGACTGCAGAACAATATCCTTTGCATCCTGAAATTAAATATATGCACATTAGCAGGGAATCCAATTCGGTTTCCTGCTCCTACCAGTCCTTGTTTCAGTTAAGCAAAGCAGCTGTTTTTACCTGAACTATTCGCTCCTTTTTGTGCGTCTTCACATCTCAAGTTGTAGAGTTTACCCAAGTTTTCTTCTCTGCTGTGTGCTCACAGCCGCTTACTAAAGTACAAGAAGACTACCAGCCGCAGCAGACTCCCGAGAGTATGCAAGGAGGATGCAGAGGCAGGCAGCAGTAGAGAGGCGTGGGTGTTGTTGAAGTCGGCAGAGCGGGGTCATAAAAGTAAGGTTCGGGGCCCTCCGGAGGCCTTACAGCTTTTCCCGACTGGTCTCTTTAAATGTTAGGCTTCCACTCATCAGCAAATGTAAATCTATCTAGCAGTCCAAGTTAACTGGACTGGACAATCTATAGGTTGTCAAAATTTATTATGAGGATAAGGAAAACCTTATATACATACATCAGCATTACTTTGTGTTGAACCTTGGGGGGTCAAGATCTCTGTCTAAATAAATAAATAAATCTGGGTAAATTCCCAGATGATTAACCCTTTAAGACCTACCATAGAACCAAGTCCGCCAGAGCTTATATTATATTTTTACATGGTGTAGTACCATTTTTGGGAGCATTTCAAGTTGCTATCAATACAATCATTATACCCCAAATTGTAATAATATGTTTGCATTAAGTGCATAGAAATTACATAAATTAAAAAAATTGAAAATCGTTTTTGCTTTTTTAACATATATTTCTAGTTAGAGAAATTTAAGAGGCTTATCCCTCAAAACTGTAAATACAAAAAAGTTGCACAAAATAGTTTCCCACCACAGGAAATTTATTTTGAGTGTCTTCATAGTTTTATTTTTGAAATACACCAATTTTTATACACTGCAGGAAAAACGAAAATAAATATTATACTGCAAATTTGCAAAAAAGCAGCATTGCATCAAAATAAACTATTTCCAGCAGTGCAATATGAGTCCTAAGCATCCCAGAAACGACACAGAAAGTCATAAAGTCAAAGCATAACTTTTAAAAAGACCAGTATAGGCCTGAGGCCCTGATGGTAAAAAAGACTACATTTGCGCAAAAATGACGTCACTTCCGGTTTCGGGCAGGTATGGCGGACATGCAATAATTGGCTGACGTCTATTCCAACGTAGGAAGTGTTATGAACAGCTGATCGGATCGGCAAAGCGTGTTTCTGGAATATTATGTTTTTGTTCGCTGCAAGCGCTTTTTATGCAGTTTTTGCAAAGCTTTATGTGGAAGGAAACCGTGACCTAGGACAAGCTGATGGCATAAGATGTAAGTACAACTCCTCCGGTTTCATATGCAAAAAAAATTATTGCGCTAGCTTACGTGGTTGCAGTGCTACCGGGATTTAAAAATAGTTACGCAAAACAGAGCGTGCCCGCTCCGACCGGCTCTAAAGGGTTAAACATGCAACAATTTTGCTGGTAATACCTGAAATTGACTAAAGAAAATCAACAGCCTAATTATGCAAGATAATTCATAATTTTATTGGGGGGGGGGGGGGACCATAACCGCCCGCCCCCCCCCCCCTCGACCCCAAACCCCCTGGAAATTACGTCCCTGTATACATAACTGGTGCTGTTGGAGCTGAAACTAGAAGACTGGCTGCTTTGTATTTACTGTGAAGTGAGTGTAGTGCAGGGACATCTTTAAAAAAAAGTTATGAGCTAACAATCAGTGATGGAATAACAGCGTTACAAGTAACCGCATTACTAACGGGGTTACTTTTTTCAGTAACGCGTAATCTAACTAATTACTATTTCTATCGTTGCAATGCCATTACCGTTACTAACAAGAAAATGCGATGCGGTGGCATTACCATTTTACTATTTTGAAGCTGTCTTCAGCTTACTGCATCCTATATCAGTGGCAGGGAAGTAGCTGTAAGTAATCTGGGCACTACAGCTTTAAGCAGCTGCGCTGCACATTTGGTTGTTTAGGTAGAGGGGGAAGTTTTAGGAGTGACGGCGAGAGAGAAAGAGAGAGAGAAAGAAAGACAGGAGAAAAAGAGAGAGAGAGAGTTTTGAGATCTGACAGATTTGTGACGTTTAGTGTGTTTGGAGTGTGTAGTTAATGTGTTGTCTTGTGACTGCTGTCTCCAGGTAGAAAACAGGAGTGATACACCTGCTGTCAGGCCTGCAGGTATCAGGCTGTGATGTTTTTTGGAGTGGCACAAATAATTTGTGTGGCATCTTATTGAATCTAGAAAACCCGATTGTTATGTAAATAGTTTAAAATAGTTGTAAAAAAAAAAAGAGGGGTAAAAGGTAAATGGCTGCAAATAGCTTTGTTGTTTGCAAAACTTGTGCATATGATTTTTAAAATTGACTATTTATATTTACATTTAAAGTTATGAAATATGTTTCATTAAACATGTTTGTGGTTGTTACAGTAAAAATATAACTTTTTCTACTCAGATTTTAAGTTTTTTGTCTGATTTGAGATCAATTGTGTTAATACAGTATGTCAAAATGAAAACATAACTGTAAATTCAGACGAGTGTGGTTGTGCTGAAAAGGATGATACCAAACAAGGCAAAGTAAATAGTTTTTAAAGGTGAAATGTAGATGTAAAATCAAAAGTAGTTAAAAATAGCCAATTATACCCTGCACCCCAGAGGGTTAAAAAAATTTTTTAAAGTGACACAATAGTTACTTTTCAAGTAATTAATTACTTTTAGAATCTTGTAGCTCAGTTATTACTTTTTCAAAGTAATTAAGCCCAACACTGCTGACAATAAATAAATAAATAAATGAATGAATAAATAAATAAAATCCTATAAATTCACACATTTCTCTGTTCCAAACAATAGGACCAACCAAGCCTGTGTCATTATTTGGTCAATAGCAGCTTGAAGCACCCCATTCAGGTCAGGAGTACTGTGGCTAACTTCTTTCTGAAAATCCCATGGGCCACACCAAATCTTAAATTATCACTCTAAACAAAATCTATCAGAAAGTTATGCATTTACTTGAAAATGTTATTAAAACCCATAAACAACGCAGGCTGTTAGCTGTTGCCATTGCTACCCAGTTATATGCAAAGAGGTAAGACAAATGTGTGACCTACCTGCTATATCACAAACGAGCCACCTTATATGTTTCAATTAACTTTTCATATAAATAAATACATTAATTTCAAAATATTTACCAGTAGTACATACTTGTGAGTAATTTCAAACTGGATTTCTGATGTACCCACAGTACCTTTGCAACCCACACTTTGGGCATCGCGACCAATTGTAGAATCATGACTGAGGAGAACACTAATGGACCTATGCAGTTGAGACCTTGGGAAGTAGGCTACTTATTAGCTCATGAGGCTCTCTCCAAAGCACTTGAAACTTGTAAATTTTTTATAAATGTACTGTGTGTTTATAGATATTATCCATGCCAGTTTGTGATGTGGATTAAGAAAGGTTGTTTATGCTTGAAGCAAACTGTCACAGTTGGCTGCCCGATTTTGTCGAGCATCTCCTCTGGAACTGACCCAGAATAGGCACAAACATCTCACACAGTATAAGACTCTTCTAATAAAATAATAAGTTCAAGGTACTTAGAGAATGTGCACATTTTCCACTGTAAATGTAGTCCACAACATGTTTCACCTCTTAATCTTTTGAGTTTGCTATATGACGGGTTGCTGTGGACCCCAGGTTTGTGAATGCAATAACTCAAGAATGAGGTAAATGAGGTAACACAGAATTTTCAAATCAATACCATGGTTGTATCTACTGAAAATCTCTGTAAGGCTTAAATCTCAGGGACCTTGACTTCAATTTCAGAGCTCAACTTTTCTAAAGAAAAGAGGATTTTCACATTTATATCCCAGGCATGTCTACTAGGACAGCGGTCCCCAACCTTTTTTGCGCCACGGACTGGTTTTTGCCCGACAATGTTTTCATAGACCGGCCTTTAAGGTGTCACGGATAAATACAACAAAATAAAACTAGTACCGGTACCGAAAAAAAGAAAATTTATTCATAACCCATACATTTCACACCTGAGCCTCAACTCTCGCGGCCCGGCACCAAACGACTCACGGACCGGTACCGGTCCGAGGCCCGTGGGTTGGGGACCGCTGTACTAGGAGGCTAAAGGGTAGCACTATATTTAAAAAAAAAAATACTAACAATTAGCTGATGCTTAAAGCTGGTTCATTTAATTAACATCCAATTTGTATCAAATTAGGTCTGATTGAAGGACTGATATGATGGTAAGTTGTCCGCTGCTCCGCTTTGAATATTGGTAAGAACTTGACACAGAGATTACTTAATGGATTTTAAGCAAAATTGTGCCTAAGTTTAAGAACATATTCATCAGTTGTTTTTATTTTTTTAGGCCTTTTTTTTTCTTTTAAATTTTCACAAGAATTGGTAGTTCCCCTAGAGTTTTGGCCACCCTAACAATCAAGTGATTCCCTATGAGCAAGCAATGAGCGACAGTGGGAAGGAAAAACTCCCTTCTAAAAGGAAGAAACCTCGCCAGAACCAGGCTCAGAAAGAGACAGCCATCTGCCATGACTGGTTGGGGTGGGGGGAGTGAAAATTTCAAAGAAAAAGAGAAAAGCCAAAGTGATAATTATTGGAGCTGTTAATTAATTCTTGCAGTGTAATTTGCTGTTAATGGCCTTTTCCAATCCCTGTATATGTTTTGTTACTTTTGTCCAGGGTTGAAGCAATGCTGGAGATTGATTTTGTGTGATCTTTCTCTTTTCCAACTTGAAGGCTGCTGAGAGACCATGCCAGTGCAGGCCTGGGTTGAAAAAGGGATGGTAGAGAACCTCCGAGGGTGTTATCCGCTGGTTTGGATCCAAGGCCAACATCTGTTTGATTAGGCTGACAAATAAATGTTGGCTATTTTCAGGTTCTTCGCTATCTTCCAGTACTAGTTCTTCAAGGTCATCAAGACACTGGTTTTATGTATCGAATATCCTTGGATTGATAATCTGTCTCATCTTGAAATTGCCTTTCAGTCTTAAATGTCCAGCGCTGTCCATTATCATTGTCTTTTATGAAATAGTAATTGGTGTAGAAGCCAGAGTCTAAAACATGATCTAAAACATGAACAAGTTTGACTTTGATGGGACACTCATCGCGGTCCACAACCATTATGTTTCCAAGTTTGAGGTCAGCATGCACTATTCCCAAAGAACCCAGGTGGGACAGAGCATTTGTGAGCTGATGTAACACTGGCC